CTCTCTCTCTCTCTCTCTCTCTCTCTCTCCCCCTCCCTCCCTCCCTCTGCCACAAGATTACCGACACTACTTCAGTCTGTCGTTCAAATCTAGATTATTTTTATAGACCAAAAAGGATCTCTAAAGTGCATGTTGAAGGAATTAATGACTTTACCACTGGTATATTGGATGATTTTGTCCTTTTTATATTCTATTGAAAATGTTTTTTAAATAAAAAAAGTTCTTTTGATTTTTACACATTATCTTTTGCCTACAGTTGGTAGCACTCTTGTGGGATGTAGGCTGAAAAGTGGGCTATAAATAAATATAGACAATGTTATATAAATCCATAGGCATATGTGTTAAACAGCTGTCATTCACAGACACCCTGGCATAACTAGCTTTGAGTCATTGGACTATTTTGTATGTTTAACTAACTAAATAGGCTTGTTTGTTGTTTTGCTGAGCAATTTCTTCCAGTACAGAGAGAAGTGGATAGACAAGTGGGCTCAGTTCTCAGGAATGGAAATATTGTTTGGGGTTACTGAGGGTTGAAGGCCTCACTTCTAGAAGACCACAGGGTAGAGGCTGCCCCAAGAAGTAAATGCCCCAAGTGAACCAAATAACAGGACAAAGTTTGCTAACAGCCAGAGAACAGCCTGAGAACATATCTATAAATAAATTGATCATCTAAAACAAGCTATGGGTACATTCTGTGATTTGTTGTAGGTGGGGGTGACATAAATCCTGCATTTACTTAGTATACTTAAAATCAAAGCAGACCGGGGGAAGGAGTCATTGAATCAGGATAAGCAAGCCAGTTATGTGAAATTGCTTAAAATACATATTTTTGGACACTAGATGTCCGTGGTATCTCTTCCTTGTCTTCTCTAACGAGCCTGTGGTATTCATGTGCTCATTATCCTCTGATGTCATGACTGAGTATGGACTGGAATTCGAATCTCACTAATCCAAGCCCAAGATTACTCGGATTCTGTTGTGATAGCACCAATTAATAGAGCGCATGAATGCCTGCTTCAGGCTTATGCAGAAATCTGAAACAATGCTATCTGCTTTGCTCTGTTGCAGAGAGGTACCGTGTTTCCCCGATTTTGACCCCCAAAATAAGCGCTTGGCCTTATTTTCAGGGAGGTCTTATTATTTTTGAGGTGCAGGAGGCCCCTTCACCTGGGCCCGTGGATCAGCTGATCCAGAGAAGGCCGGAACTTCTGTCTCTGTTTCTGGCACACTCTTGCCAGCCTTAGTGCTGCTGGGCCTGCCACTCTTTTTGTAGCCGCCACTAAGAGAAGGGGCATGGTAGGTAGGGTTTGCAGGCGCGACCTCTGCGAGGCCATTCTGCATGGATGGCAGGTCATGTGGGGCGTGTGAGGCATGTCCCCCCCTTTCTTCCAGGAAATGGCAGGTATTGGCTGTGCATGCATTTAAATATTTTAGGGGAAGGCTTATTTTTGGGGAGGGCTTATTTTAGCGCAAGTGCTCAAAAGCCCGATTGGGCTTATTATCCGGGGAGGTCTTATTTTCAGGGAAACAGGGTAGTATCTGGCAATTTGGTGAGGTCCAAAGGATGCATAGCCTTAGTGTTCAACATTTAGGTAAGGGCAGCCAATAAGACAGGGGCAGCAGCTAGTTTACCATGGCTCAACTCAGGAAATGCCACATAGTTTAGACTTTGTTTATATTTTGATGGGAAACAATCAGGAAATTTCAGAGTGATGGACTAGATTGGAAAGCCAAAAAAATGCTTGGAAGAAGACAGTGACAAATCACTTCTGTATTTTTGCTATATAAATGTGACTGCAGTCAGCAGAACTCAAAGGAATTTACCTTTATACCAGCAGAAAAGTCTAATGAGAGACAGAAATGATTAATATCCTATTAGCTATTCCTGCTTGGGAAGCTGCTGTGGAGGGAAAGGCTTCAGTGATCATGTAACAATTATTAATTCTTCTTCTTGGCAGTGATGCAGACTTAACTGGTTACCACGTCTTGCTTGGAACACTCTTTAAGAACCCTGGTCCTAATGATCCAAACAAACAGGCCATTCCTATAATTAAGATTGTCTGTGGTCCCTCTGAATCACTTGTGGTGATGCTGAAACTGGAGAGGTAAGTGACCTTTCAGATACTCTGTATCCCATATATAGCATGAAAGCAACTTAGTTTACATACCAATAGGCAGAGGTCAAGGCTTCCTCAATAGGGGCTCCTAAGAGCCTTCTGCACTGTTGTATTTTGGGATCTGCAAGATACATACTTTGTTGTAGAGAAATCTCACTGAGGTGGAGAATGGCCTCTAGGAAACTAGGCAAAGCAAAGGAACATTTCACACATACAATAATGGCTGTACTAGACTTGGAAAACAGGGCCCCTCAGTCTGTCATTGTGTTCCACCCTCTATGAACTGTATGGCTTCTGGGGAAGGAGCTGGTGAAGATGGTGGTATGCCGCAAAAAAGCTCACAAACAGAAACAATTAAGAGAATTGATAGCAATAGCACTTACATTTATATACCGCTTCACAGTGCTTTACAGCCTTCTCTAAGTGGTTTACAGAGTCAGCATACTTTCCCCAACAATTTGGGTCCTCATTTTACCAGCCTCTGAAGGATGAGTCAACCTTGAACTGGTGAGATTCGAACTGCCGACAGCCAGCAGAAGTAGCCTGCAGTACTGCATTATAACCACTGTGCAACCATAGCTCTGTAGCATAGGAATGTCTAGTAGGTAGATTGGGTTATCCAGGGCCAAAACTGAATTTGGCAGTAATCTTACTATTTGAAGATGTTTCTTTTTTTTTACTGGCAGTCAGCTTCCTTCCTTGGACTTTGCATGTAATGTTTTAAATTTCCTTTCCTCAATCAGTTCCAAGAAAATTAAATTAGAACTACTAGATTCAGTGATTCTCAATCAGGCAAGCTGATCTCTTCATGTCTCTTCTGGAAGACACCTAGCCGTGGTTTGTTTCCATCAAAGACATCCCTTGTCAGAAACAGGGAATTAAGTTGAAATGCTATTTTTTCTTGTCTCCGCTCTTAATTGTTGGATGTATTCCTGCTTCAGGAACTGAAAGCTGAATCCTACCCAAGGCTGATCTCATATCTTAAAAATCTTTATGAACAAATACATAAATACATATATTTAGAAAATATATTCCAGTACTATGCTATGGGTGGCAGAACAAAGCAGAGCCAAAACATGAAGCCGGGCAGGAAAACCACATTCTTATTGGAAATGATGCTGACTTAACATTCATCAGTAGGCATTTATCCACATTATGTTACAGTGCTCCCAGCCCTTCTTTGAACTGATGGAAAGCTGTATTGGTTTAACATTTGCTTTCCCACTGCCCAAATCTATCTGGACTTGTTGCCTTTGTTCTGAGTTCTGCCATCTGACTTCCCCTCAGGTTACAAAGCCTAATACTATTTACTTACTTCCTTTGGATGGTACTAAAATAAGGCTGGGTGGTTATAACAATAAGAGCTAGGCTGACTTAAACGTGCCTTACTCTTAAGCAGAGGATGTGATGAAGGCAACACGATGAGGGCGCAGTGGAGAAAGAGGTGGCCAGGGCAGGTTTAGGCAGTGGTTGGGTGCGAGTGGAAATTGTCCTGGGATGAGAAGACAGGATGTATATAGCTTTCAGGCAAAAGGTGTTACAATGCTAAAGATATTTCCCTGTATGGTGTATTTTACTTCCTCTGCTGAAAATTGCTTTGGTGACTGAAGCTGCTAAAAAAACCTGATACAAAGCAGCTGTCAATTAATAGCTTTTACAAGAAAACAAGCGCCTGTGAATTTGGTTTACCAGAAGGAATGCAATCGAATAAAAACTTAAAAGGCTTGCTCAAGGTAGATTCACACAATCCCAAAGCTTGTGACGACCCCTTGAAAATAGCCCCTTCCTACTTATGTTTTTGCTGAAGGACTCATGCAGCAGTTATCACCGTTCATGGCAGAAAGATCGGTTATGGGTGTGATGCCAGCATCAGCAGGCATCCAGCCAACCTTGGGCGTGCTTGGAATGTGATCAGCACTTTGAAGTGGCTTCTGGGTACAGAACAAAGATGTGAACTAGTTGCTTTGTGCCTTCTCTTTCTCACCACAGGCCTGCACTTCTGAATCAACGTGTGGCATTGATCTGCCTTCCACCTGAGCGTTACATTGTGCCCGAGAACACCCTGTGTGAGATTGCAGGATGGGGTAGCACTGGAGGTACAGTCTGGAAAAAGGATTGTTTCAGGAGATCTCAAAACCAGTTGGTCCAATCTCTTAATTCTATCTTGCTGGGACACAGAAGTAAAAATGTGGATTTTTTCCCCCTTGGATATAAAGTGTGACAATTTAACCATTAGTTCAGGAACTGGCTAGGTAATATTCCCCTCACATTTTTATTCCTTGTTCAGTGGGAGAGAAAGCCTGGAACATGATTGGCAGGAATCGAAGCTTGCATATGTAAGCAAAGTCACAGTCCTGGCAGGATTGGGTTCCACATTGTCTAGATCAGTGATAACAAACCTTTTAGGCACAGAGTGCCCAAACCGGAAGGCACGTGTGCGTATCTCTATGCACGAGCACGTCAGAGCACCGGAAACGTGACGGCCAGCTGGCCTGAGCTGTGGCGACGGCGCATGTGCCCATAGAAGGGGCTCTGCATGCCACCTCTGGCGCACATGCCATCACAGGTCTAGATAGTCAGCTTATCCGGACAGAGTACAAATGGAAAAACTGACCTTCTATTAATTCATTTTTAGGAATTGCTTATATAGCTTAGTGAAGTTCTGAGTACAAAATTTACTCCACTGACCCAATTCTAAGCAGAAATGTGACCAATGAGTTTAGGATAGTAGCTGATACCTCTTAATTGGAGTAGTGTTTGATCAATTATGAAATCTGTCTACTTCTTTAAACCAAAAGACAGCTTCATATACAATATGAATGAATAATGTTAATTCTCCTACTTTTTTAAAATAAGCACAAAAGCCTAAATTCTCTACTGCCATTATGCAAATTTCAGAGGGATATGAAGTTATTAGAAAAGTGAAAACATAAATAGGAATATCTTCCATATTGAGAATCTCTCAGAAAAGTAACCAAGACAAAAAAAAATTCAATATTTTATTAACCAGATTCCTTTCCAGTTAAGAATATTCCCTATATGGAAGATTTTCTAAGCTATTGTATGATTCACGCATTTCAATGAAACTTTATTTAGAACTCATTCTTGAACTCATATTATTAAGTGGATGAAAAAAAATCCTGTTTGAATATTATCAATTTGCCCTATTTGAAATTTGAGTGGTTCATGGCACTACAGAGTTTGATAACTACTTACCAGCATTGTTTTTTTTAAAAAAATCATTTAAATAATACAATTTTTTAAAGGACATTGGCATATCCTGACTATTAACTTGATATTTAGCATATTGAAAGGCTATCATTTTGTTGGTATGATGTGGGTAATAACACTGCCTTGATTATTTATTCATGTTTATATGTGCCTGCCCAATAATATTGTTCTCTGGGCAGTCTGTTATATAAGATGAGAAATACACAGTATCATAATAATCTGCAGCAAAAATATTTTTAATACAGCAAGTAGATATAGGAATAAAAATATATATACTCAAGCACAGTGATCCCCAACCCCCGGTCCGCGGACCGGTGCGGGGCCGGGGAGTACCTGGCCCCGGGCCGCGCAGCGGCCGGGGGCCA